CGATTGGGTCTGTGTCCGATTGGGAAATATTGTCGTGTCCGATCGGTAATGTGCGCAATTGAGACTCACTCTATGGACATATACCTCTACATAGAGATCGAGAATTTATTTCTCAGATTGGTAATCCTGAAGTCGGAGTTTCGCATTGTCACCGCGCGAGGTCTCCAATATCAATTCGGAGTTTGGCCGTCACTCCTGCCGACCCTTAACGTTCTTGATCACAAGTCGCCATAATGGATCTTTCTTTCGTTATCGATGATCCTTACGATCCATACAGTATAGATGGCGCCACTAAACTGTGTGTGTCCTTAAAGATACTAGCGTAAGAACTAACAATGGTAAAGGACTTTTCTGTTCAGTTTACTGTGCTCTACCTGCTCACGAGCATTGGCACAATCTTCACCAGAAACCCTGTATATATATTCTAACGTGATTATGTAATACATTCTTCTCCGATTTTTGGAGTTATTTTCTGCGGCTTGGTTTTATCAGTCTAATAGGAATGTTTAATCATATATATTTTTCTATATCACACAAAAAGTTCGCTAAATGAAGCGATTCTCTCGACAATTTGATAATTATACTTATATAACAATAAGGGAATATATAAACGTCATCTTTACTATTTATATTTATATTTATATTTATATTTATATTTGTTTATATTTATTACTGTTTATTTTTATATTTCTTGAGAAGATAACTTTTTTTAATTCTTTATAATTTTTCAAATTTTTAGTTTTTACAAACAAGATTTTTTACAGATAAGATTTATTTTATTTACCTGATTTTAATCGCCGTCCAAAACTCTTTTATCGTGATATACGAATTTTCTTCCAATCTGATGATTGAATCCCACTCGAAAAATAGATAATACACTGTTAACAGAATATTTATAGGTGTATTTTACAGAGATAGTTTGGGCTAGAATATAACTAACGATTAAACTCGCGGTTGCAAACGAAACAAGCGACTTTGATAGCGAAAAGAAAAGACTATATTAGCGAAGATAACTTCGAATGGAGTCGATCCGAATTCGGAAGCAATCTGTAGCCAGTTGCGCGCGCTCGCCGCTCTTATTATCTTATGCGGTTTTCTTGAATAATGTTCAGAATATCGAAAACCTGTTATGATAAGATGACTCTTTATTATTCAGAGGCGGAGCCAATGACGAAGCAACATCATCTCGCACCGACTTTTTTGTGCAGGCACAAGCTGTTTCTAATTTTTGTTGCGATATTTCCGTTATTGCTTCGCAAAGATTAATAATAAGCATTGACGGACTTGTATGAAACTTTATGATGAAATGAGAATAAATAAATTTTTTGCCAATGCTAATCCCCTATTGTTGTACAATACGTTATAATTATAATGCTAAATGTC